CAGGGCTTTGGGGTTTTGGGGTTAGTTTGGGCAGGTCTCTGTGGAAAGCGTCCAAACAACTACCTCACCAAGAGAACCAAGGCCGCATTTAGAGCTAATGCATGGAGTTAGGGCTCATATCGTTTCGGATTTGGGGCTTCAGGTTATAGGGTTAGGGTTACGGTTTAGGGTTTAGGGTAGGGGTTTGGGGTTTGGGGTTTAGGGGTTTAGGGTTTATGATCTGGGGCTTGAGCTTAGGTGAGTCTTCTCGGCTGAGGAAGGAAGGAATGCGCCGAATGCAAACACTAAAGCTGTCAATACTGAAATAGAAAAAAAGAAAGATACCCGTCATAAGGACCTCGCCAATAAGTGAGCCGAACACGAAACCCCCAAACTGGGATCCTTTCTGTCCCTATCTAATAAGAAGCCACATAGCCAAAACATAGATCACTAGCTGCAGGACATCCCACAAATCATATTGGGTAGTTCTCTAAATTAGGATCCCGTTGAGGGCCCTTTTTACAAGGATGCCGTACAGAATTAGGGATCTAAGGAGGGGCCCTAACTTAGAAAGCTACCCCTATACCTGACTCAGGGCAGAAACATCAATCACAGGAGGTGCCTCCCCAAAGCGCAGTCACCTGAGGGCCAGGTCTAGTGTTTAGGGCTTATAGGGTTTAAGGGTTTAGGGTTTAGAGGTTTAGGGTTGAGGGGTTTAGGGTTTGGGGTTTAGGGACCTTTCCTGGAGCCGCAAAGGTTGTGAAACTGCAGGTTATGACCCGGATCTAAACATCAAGACACAGAGGTAACCCTTAAACCTTAAACCATGAAGCCTAGAAAAGACGCCTTCGGAACACTGCGGCAAACAGCTCTTCATGGGATTTTGCTGCTGAAAGCATCACGACAACCGACGCAGATGGAAGATAATGGAGAGCGAAGATACCAAGCCCTAAAACTTGGTTCCGCAAGCACTACAGCGACTCCCAGAAGGTTGGAACATGGGTTTAGGAGGACTAGTGCTAGGACTGCTAGGATCCCTTGTACTTTACCTTAAGGGCATGAGGAGAATCATATTCCAACTTTCTGGCTTCTACTCTATTCCCTAAAGCCCATATGAACCCTCAGCTCTAAACCCTAAACCCTATATAAGGCCGAAGCCCTAAACCCTATTAGGCCCTATATAAACCCTAAGCCCTAAACCCTATAATCATTAAGCCCTAAGCCCTATATAAACCCTAAGCCGCAAACCCTAAATCCTGAAAATCCCAAACCCCAAACCCTATTGCACCCTTAACAGCGACACCAAGGCAAATCTCAAAGCTCCAAAGGCACTGCGGCCGCATGCTGCAGCCGCAAGCCATACCAGGTAAGCAGCACACTGAGCCTCAGCTGTCGCTAAGTGTTTAGGGTTTAGTTTGCGGTTTAGGGCTTAGGGCTGAGGGGGTTTCAGGGTTCCGTGGTTTGAGCTTTCCATTGTAAGACACAAGATGACACAGGAGCATAAGCCGGGGGGTTCATAAACAAACTGACCCCGAAAGAACCGGAAGATCCAATTCTGTCATGGCAGGATCCTCGAGATAATGAGACCCGAACCTAGGGCCCTTCATCTCCTGCTTAGCAGGCGCTGAAGAGACCTTACTATTGGGGGAGAGATAAAGGAGGTCCTGGAATTTTGAGAAGATAACACAGGATCGGCTTCCTAGTCGCTCATAATTAGTGATTTACGGACTTCATGCTAGGGGTCTGAATAAATCTGACAGGAGGTCCGGGTATGCTATAGTCTGGTTTAGGAATCAAACGTGTTCATTTCCCGCGGTCTTTTTACAAGATCTAAATCCACTGACTGCAAGTGAAGAAAACCGACATCGGGGTGTAAGTGTCTAGTCGCAGGTCTTTGTCCTTCTTTCGTGGTCTTCCGTCCTAAACCTGGAACACTGTTTGAGGCTTCTCCAAGGCCAGGTTCAGGGCCGGCTGGTTGAAGGTCGGCTACGGCCAGGGCTGCTTCGGCTGGGCAGGGTTGAGGGTTTAGGGTTGTTCAGGTGTCACGGAACGGGCCCCTAGTCGGCCTTGACGGTCTTGGTAAGAAGTGGCACTTTCAGGAACCAGGCTAAACGGGACGTGCGCACAAAGGACCTTGGCGGCGGTAGACCGAAACTCAGGTAAACCCCAACCCCCTAGAGCTTGGCATATCCCGTGACTCGACTCTAGATGTCAGTCCGGGTAACGACAGGACTGTCGCCACGCCTAAGATGAACCTGGGACGCCATCTTTGCGCTGATACATGGGATGAAAAGGGTAGAGGGTCCCTTTGGAGGAGCGTAGTGGGTTTTGAGGGTATTCCATTCCGAATCAAGCTTTCGTTCTTAAGCGTTTGCAGGAATAGAATTATGTATTCGTCGTCCTTCCAGGCGGGGAATTCTTCCGCACTTGGTGATCAACAGCCTCAATCGACCGGCTTAAGGGTTACAAAAAGTTGGAAACCGGATTGAGGACACATAGTGCTCGGATTCCCTATGCAGCAGCCTTTTAAGGATGCAGGCTATTGGGTTTCCAACTTTT